GGGGTGTTGCTCTGGCTTTTAAAAGAATAACTTTGATTCCCTGAGTGGGCTGGCCTTTGAGATTTTAAAGACAATGGGTGGTCGCTTTGGATAATTATGATTTCCACTGCAAGTCTTCCTACTACTGTTTAGAATTATTTTTTTAACCCGCAGTTGAAGTAGGTTAGTTTCCACCCAGTTTTGGCCCTCTCCAGCTCGTGACTTCCTCACAAAGAAGTTGAATGGATGATATGTCCTTTGCGTGAAATTCTGAGAGCGTAACCTTGGCGTCGCAGATGCGTCTGCACGTCTCACAATTGTGGTTGCGCGTGCAGAACAGCATCTAGGGGCGGTGTGGACGAGACAAAGATGTGGGTAGCATCGTCATGAAACCAGCCGCTCGTCAAAATAAAAAAATTTTGAAGAAATCAATATTTTCCCGCCCGTTTGGTAATTTCAATTGATTTTTCTTTTTCTTTTTTTAAATTTTGTTAAGCTCAACTCATTTTGTCTTCATTTACAAATACTATACTTCTGTGTGGATTTTAATTTCTGTAAACAGTTGATGAAAGGCAGAAAAAAAATGAAAATTTGCCTCCCTCCTCCCTCCCCCCCCCCCCCCTCTCCCCCAACAATCTTCAAACACTACTTCTGTCAGAGATAAATGGGTAGTTTTTTGTTGGTGGGGGTCCCCACAAGCAAGACAAATAAACATTACAAAATGTAAGATGATCCAAATGTCCCTATTTGCCCAAAAATTGACGAGCGCCTCATTCTATCGTGTCGTGAGATAAGAGCTTCAACCTGGTTCTTTGGTGTGGGCGTGGTGTTTCAGTGCAGTGTGTAACCTCTCTGGTGTAACAATACAAAGAAAGTTGGCGCCGGGCCGTGTGGGAAGTGGGGAAAGGGGGTGCATTGACTGCATTCTGTGTGTTTGAGGGTGTGCCCGTGCAAGTGTGTGTGTGTGTGCGCGCGCGTGTGTGTGTGTGTGTGTGTGTGTGTGTGTGTGTGAGTGAGTGTGTGTGCGTCTATGCATGTGTGTATTGTGAGTGTGCGTGTGTTTATGTGTGTATGTGTGTATGCGCGCACGCGCGTGTGTGTGTG